ATTGAATTCTTATCTTACTAATAATAAATGAGAAAGTATAGATGGATGGATATTTGTTAGAGTTTGTAGCCTAAACAGCTGAACAAATTTCGATGAAATTTGGCACATAGGCTACGCAGTTTTGTTTTTTTTTAACTTCACGAGGACGGAGTCGCGGGCAAAAGCTAGTTAGAAAATGATGAAAAGTAAGACCTATGTTTCTCACTGATAACGTATCTTTGAAATGGTGAGAGAATTTTTGTAGGTAGTTTTTTGACCCTTTCACGCAAGATATTTTTTTTAAATTGTTCACCCACTAAATTAAATAGCATAAAAATGTGTAGCCTGTTATGAGTCGTAGTGCAGGCTTTTACTAAAAAATAAAAGAATTGATTTATATGTTGTGAACATAACAAAGAAACGTGTGTTTGTTTTAAATAGTAAAAAAAGGGTACATAAGTTTCATGTATCTCGTACGAAGTCGGGTTGTGTGATTGTATAATTTGTATTTTTAACAGAACGGAGCAAGCGAACGCGTGGCGCGCGTCCCGCGGCCGCGGCAAGGCCACGCCGCAGCATCATCTTACTGTTAAAATATTCATAGGATTTGAATACGAATGTACACGAGGACACAGGTGAGGCAAACTATACAATGAATATGGTATACATTAAAATTTATTAACATATAAGTTGCATGGCTAAAACTATTCAGTGGTTGCTTGTAACTTGTCAGTGTGTATATTCAAAAGTGGTCTATTATTTTCCTGTATACCACAGCTTTTTGCCTTTACTGTTATGTTAAAATTAACTTGCTCGTTTCTAAGATAATGCGGAATAAACACAGTCTTGGACATAAAGATAAGACAGTCGATATTTTAAAAATCCGTAAAGTCTACAAGTATGTTTTAATTTTTTATCCAACTTCAAAAAGGAGGAGGTAACGCGATTGGGTTTTTAATGTACATAAGTTACGCTGCAATTTATGAACCATTTACGTAATGCCTTTTTGGTTTTGAATGACTGCCATGGACCCATTTTAATTAATTTAGAAAAAAATCAAATAGTTTTTGAGTTTTTCTTAAACGTATCAAATAAACGTTTAATATTTTTTGGTATTCGCTATTTAAAACAGCTATTTAAGCTATGATGGAAATCAAAGTGTTATGGTCCTTGGAGTCGGATAAATTAAGTTTTTTCTATAGGTTCATGATGTCGAGCCCCGAGGGTCCGCCGAGCAGCGTGTCGAGCGGCAGCTGGGCGCGCGAGGCGGCGGCGGGGGCGCGGCTGGCGCACGCCGCGCTGCCGCTGCAGACTGCCTGCTTGTGCCGCGCGGCGCCGCGCGCGCATCTCGCGCGAGTGCACGTCGTTACACCCAAGTCTAATGTACACGTCACACTCAACCCCAAGGTAACACGGTTTATACACCTACAAGGAACTTATGGCACCTTAGTAATTGAATGCCCTTAGTAATTGTTTACTACAGGCAGTCAACTTACGTCGTTTTAAGTTATGTACGTCGAATTTTTTGACACTATTCCGGAAATTGAAACATACGTCATATGTTTCGATTTCCGGAATACCAGATGATCAAAATGTTGATAAATATTTCTTATTACATATGTATTTTGATTACATTTAAAAGTTTTAAATAATTTAAATCGATACATCTGTAGAAATTAATACAGCTTTAGGATGATTGAATCAAAAATGAGGTATACTTTATTTTTTGTACAGAATTAACGATAATCAGTAATCGTGAGATAGCATCGTCATACTCATGGCTCTAATTTCAACAAATGTGACATTCTGGAATTTCGAAATTATTAATATGGCAACATTCATCAGTGTTGCCAATCCCTCCATATAATTTTTGTAGGCCTAAATTATTTTAACATAATTTATAACAACTTTTATTTCCCCCATAAAAAAACACAAATAATAATATTAATGTGATACCCAGGTGCAGCCGATCCCCGGGGGAGCGGTGTTCGTGGCGCAGCCGGTGCAGGAGCCCCCGTTCAAGCTAAGCTCGTCCGC